CCGAAGATTATATTTTTTAAATGATACCATACATTTTATGTAAACAAAAACCTTTCCACCGGAAGTAAAAATTTTCCCGCCATGAAAACGCGCGCGCGCKCGCTTCTCCGATTGGCTAGCATCGGCTAGCATAGCAACCGGTCGTCTAGAAACGGATACGTCAGTACACCCTTAATGAGATATCCGTTTTGACCTAGTAAGAAAGTACGGGAATTTGATTTGTCGGAAAATAACTGAATATCCTGGTCGTTATAACGGGTTGGTCGTAATATGTGTTTATTAATTCACTTACTTGGTGATTCCTCTGTTAGTAGCCATTATCAAGACAGGCGCCATGTCACTTTCAAGAGCTCGGTTAAGAAACGAGAAGCACTCAATGTCCAACATATGGACCTCGTCTACGAACAAAACCTAAAGATAGAGATACATCAATGAAGTATCAGCCACACGAGATTTTACAAAGAGGATGTTATATAAAAATTCGTCTCTAAATAGCTACTTTTAGCAGTCATTTACACTTTTTTTTTCTCCAGGATCTCTTGTATTCGCTCTAGTCCAATGCAATAGCAGTATTTATAGCTAATACTTTACCCCAGGTACAATGTCGGCTTTGCCTTCTTCTCGCCACTCTGCCACCTTGGCATTGATCTGCTCTCTGACTTCACCTTTGATTTCACCAGTGTCACCTGAAGACCACAACAAGCAAAGTAAACATAGATGTACGCACGCTACATGCGTATAGAACGATACCATACAAAGATACAAAGGAATATACCTAGTTCAAAATTTGTATCGCTGCGAGCACAGTAGAGTCAACTCTCGCCTTACCGACACACCGCTACAAAACGGACAATAAAATACTGATTCCCCGGCGAAAAATACAAAGAAATGACTGAAAGTAACTCCCGTTATTACGGACTCTCGCTACTTCGGACACTAAATTACGGTTCCGAGGGTGTCCGTATTATAGCGACAGTTGACAGTACAAGCATGTTGTTACAAAGGAACCCCGATTACTGATTAAGCCACCTCCGTTCGTTATAACGGAATCAGTGCAAAAAAAAACAACAATGTACTTACTTTACAGAAAGCTAAATGTTATAGAAAGATGAATTACCTGCAAAGAGGGCCAGGAACCCTTGTGTCCTGCTGTTGATAACATCTATCTCGTGAAGTGTAACGGTATGTACCACTTCTTTTCTCTTCTGTAGCTCACCCTCTGGACATTGAACAAACTTGGTCTAAAAGGCAAGAACCGATTAGGAAAAGGAAGACCCGAGATGCTTTGCGATCGATTGTTTTGTTTTGTAAACGATCTCTATTTGAAAGTTGTTTATTTTTTTCCAAAATCATAGATGCCGATGTTTTGGCAAAGTTATAGACCATCGAGCTATTATGAGCTATTTTTACCTCAGAATCAATTACATCATTGTCTCTAGTTCTCTCTCATTGGTTTATGCAGATCAAAACTTACTAATTTATTATAATTTATTATAATTTTACCTCAGCCCCCATTGCATCATAGTCCCTGGCTCTAGTAAAGGATCGACCAAGTTTACACACTTTACCAGTTGCTTTGTCTATGGTAATAATATCACTGAAGAAAAAAATCGCATTATTAATTTTGTAACTATTTCTTTACTTTCACAATCAACTTCCTTCTATATCACCTTCAACTTAACAAGAAAAAACACAGTACAGGAAAAGAAAAGAGAAGAAAAGAATAGAATGGAAAAGAAAAGAAAAGAAAACAGAAAAAACTACATATATTCTTACCCAGCTTGTACTTTTTCTTTAGTCAAGGATTCAATCATCTTTGTACCCAAATCGTAAATAGTTTCCATCTCTGTTGTCTTGAGTGTCAGTTTACCAACTTTGGCTCCCTGTAAGGAACACGCCAATTTATGTTGACATCTGACATTAATTTGATTTAGGGCAAACACCAAGAGGAACTAACGACATGTATCGACTTATTATCGACGTCTTATCATTCCGCTCGATAAAGGGATAAAAGCCCATATACAATTCTAACACTCTGAAGGTTTTCAGATAGAAAGCTTAATAAAAAGCGTGAAACAGTTACTTTCTTCTATCGAGTTATAATACTTGTACTTACCGTTCCAGAAGCAGGTCTGTCAATTTGGATCTCGACTACTTCTCCTTCAATGATCTCTGTCTCCTCCCTGAATAAGAAGACCGCTATCAATACACGATTACGCAAGATTTGATAACAGTATTTTCACACCTCGTGTTGTGTAAGTATCTGAAGTTTAACTTTTCTTCTGTCTTTCACAAGCATTTAAAGCAGGAATTTTACGGACACCATGCAGTTTCGCCTTATTAAGCCTTTTTAACCCGTATTTTGTACGTATTTTCACAGGAAATCTAGATTGATAATGAAAGCGAACCACGCACGTACAAAAAATGAAATAAAAATTGTGCTGCATTAGTTTTGATTTGTAATTGTTAGAAAAGTGGATCAAAGAATCCTACATTAAAAAGTAAATTTGATCTTTACCAGCGTTGCAGAGGTTGCTTTTTTAAAATTCTATTATCATTTTTTTTTTTTGTTAGTTCTCTCGAAAAAAAAAAAAACACGATTATGTGCAAATAATACCATGAGTGAGGTTCACCGCTGACCACAAGAAACGGATCTCTGTGCACGCGCAAAACAGCGCATGCGCAAGCAATTCAGCGCGAGTGAAATTAGTGACGTAAATACCATGTATTGTGACGTGTTAAATTAGTATCGCACAATTTTTCATTCATTCAAGAAGTAAAATAGTTACAACAGGAAAATAATAATTCAAACACATGGGAAAGTGTTTGTCTTGCTTTCGACCAAGTACAAAGGAATCAGATTTTAATATCAACATCAGCCCAGTAGTCGTTAAGGAGCCAAAACAAAAAACTTGGGCCAAAAAAGTAGAAGCGGACTTGAACAAACTTGCCACACACGATGTGACGGAGAAAAGTCTTAAACAACTGTACTGTAATCCACCCAAAAAAGAGTCGGCTACCAGCCTCCCACGTCCACTGGTGAACGTGAACATTAGCGCTGGAGAATCACTATCTGACAGTAGATCTACACTGTCTTCATTCTTTGACCGCACCTGCGATGAATGGAGTCCAAAAGTCGCCGAAGCAATAAAGAATGCTACAACAGACAAGTCGGACGAAGATGTAACTTCCTCTACGTCTGAAGTGAAACAGGAAATTCATGAGCCCGAGTTGATTCGAGTTGACGAGCCAACGAAACAGGCTGACAGCGCTATTTCCATTGATTCCTCAAACTGGGATGACTCCGTCACTAGCTCTAGTGATCTTGGTGAAGCGAGCAGGCTGTT